CTGAAATTGAGTTGTGAACGACGACATAGATTTTATGCGCCATTTTAATCTGCTCGTAGTTTAGCAATGACAGCGGAGGAGATTGAATGAAGCCAGTCCGTGTCGACAAGGCTTCCAAATTAAATTAAATTTGCCTCACAAATTCTGCAGCACTCATTTACAGTCATCTCATCTCATCTCATCTCAGGGGATGGTTGTTTACAGCGCACGCAAATTCTGGTTAGCTTCTTAGCTTAGCTTAGCTTCCTTCACGATCGAGCTGGCGCACTGCATTCATCACGGCCAACCGTTAGCTACTGAGTAAATCAGATCCAATTGTTTTAAACTTTAATAGTGTCCATGCCTCTCAATAGCCAAGAGTAAAGAGCCAGGGTTCCTACAGTTTAAGCAGAGTTAAATTTAAGACCTTTAAAGACTTTTTTATGCCAAGTGAAATTAAGTTTAAGACCAATTTCGTGATAAACACAAATGACAAAAAAAAAAAAAAAACTGGCAGAAATTTATGAAAGTATTTTTGGTTGAAGTATTCAACTATTGCTAATAGACCGATTGTTTTTATCCATATCAAACTGCTTTTTCATCAACTATAGCAGAAACATTCTTAGCAGTCAGTTTTAAACTTAATTTAATTCCTGAAAATCCTCCAACAACACAAAATTTGGAGTTTTAGGACCCACCGGGGTCTTACCCCAGTTTGCTGTCGATGAAACCTTAAAGTGCCCGTGACATCAATTTTTTTGTTAGAAATATGAATGCATTTTTGGAAAAACAACATTATTAACATAATACAAAAAGAATTTCTCATTGCTCAGATGAACAGTTGTTGAGATATTTGCATGTAAAATAACAGGAAGTGATGTCAAAGGGGAAGGTCTGCATGTGAAAATGAAGCATTTTTACCAATTATTTTAATATTTGAGATGAATTACAATCATCCAACTTACAATGTGCTCACATTTTTAAGACTTCTGAAAGACTGATTTAAGACATTTAAGGCTAATTAAGGCCTTATTTTTGGATTGATGAATTCAATGACTTTTAAGACTTTTTAAGGATCTGCAGGAACCCCGAGACCCTCTGTGTGAAGCAAAGCGAAGAACAAGGGGCTGGATTTTAATCAGGCTAATAATTTAGCTGATTTGACTGAGCTAAAATGTGGTGTGGTAGCAGCTGAGAGTCATTCACAACATAAACTCCAAGCACAAGAAATATTGCACCATTGTTTGAGATTGCACATAAAGTTTGACYAAACTAGTTATAAATCTATGATTTCCCACTAAACAACCATTCATTTCTTTTTAAGGAACCTTTAATTATTTGAAAAGTGTTTGTTATGTTATGTAAYACACTGTAACCAAAAGGCAAATTAAGCAAAGTCAAAAAGATAAATGCACATTTGTAGATTRCAATCATCCTCAAGGCTATATAGTTAAATTGTTTTTCAAACAGTTGACCCAAAAGCTAGATTGGAATCACTTCAAGCTTTGAAGCGGCTACAAGAAAGCAGATGAACTCACACAAYATGAGCTAGGTTGAGAGGTTTATCTGGCATTTCAGGATACATGGGGTGGAGGGCCTCTCCGCTGGATGCACAGCTCAGTGACTTACTGAGGACGTGGGATAACTTCTTAGCGGGGGATTTCTAGGAGAAACACAGGCGTGACATGTCAAACGTGAGGCCGCTTTGATTTATTTTCTTTTTTTTTATTCTATTTTTTTTAGCCAAAGCATGTGGGCATCAGAGCAGCGCTACTGTCCCCCTGCGTCAAACGCTCAGCATCTTTACAAGCAGAATAAAAATAGCCTCAGCGACCGGTCTAATGCAGACACACCTCCCTYGGCCTCCCCCTTCTCCTTCCTTACCCATGACGTATACTCCTTCATTTGGTGCTGGTTGCTATGGGGACCGCTGGCATGCCCCCTCCAGAAGCAGTCCTGACAGAGCTGGTAATTATGACATTGCTGGCAGCGGTAGCGGAAGCCCATCATACTCTCAGTGTGGCAGTAGGAGCACTCGACCGGGTGAAAGACTGCAGGGGGGGTGGAGGAGGAGGGGCACAAACACACACGTGTAAACAGATGTGACATAACTGGGATGTTTTGCAACACTGCAGGAAGGACAGGATCAATTCTGGGTTGATTTGAGGGCGGACGTGTTGGGATATCGATCCTGGTTTGTCGACAACCGCGTCAGCGAGCAGCGCGATACGTGTGCACGTTTTATTTCTGYGAACGCGCTTGTGATGTTGGCATGTACAGCCAATGTGTGTGCGCACGTGTTATTTTTATTATTATTTTTTTGGTTTGTCATGCGATGGTGTGAATATGAGACAGAGCTGAACTTTTGCATTTTYTCAGGCTGTTCTTACCGTTCTCCACGTTGGCGAGCCGATGCATGAGCGGCAACCACACCAAGCACTGAGGAGGCGGGTCTGACATCAAGGTGTCGAGGAACGTGTTGAGGGAGACCTTTTTCTTTTGACGTGCCGTACAAAAAAAAAAAAAAAGAGTCAGCACAAAGTCAGGGCTAGAGACGATCGCCCGGTTTACACCTCACCTGCTGCGCGAAGCACCCCCGTGCGGCTTGTTCGGTGTAGCCAAAGGAAGGCCCCTCGAAAACTGCCATGGGTAGTTTGAGAACCTCCCGCAGAAACTGGTCGAACTGCGAATGCGCCATTACTCCAGCAGAATCTGATATCTGGGAAAAGATATCTGGAAACAATAAGGGGGAGACTTAATACAAATTAATTGAGCTAATTGTCAGCTGCAACAACAGTTGGCTAATTAGAGAATCACACAATACAATTATCCCACTTGTTTGTGTAAACACATCAAAGTAAAGCAGTTATAATGATCAGCTGGAGCGACACACCAGCCCTCCTCTGCTTTTCCTCATGCAGCTCCCACAGATTTAGCGCATTATTTGATAAATTCTGACCTATCAGATAATAAATAATGACTTCTGCAGAGCACCAGGAGCYAGAGATGAACTGCTGCTTTGTCTAAAACACACAGAAAGTACAGCCAGAAATAAGTTTGTAACAATAAATCTGAGGCAGCGCCTATGCTGAACTAGAAAATGTAAGGTTTGGAAATGCAAAATACTGATTTATTACAGGAGGCCGATGATTTTAATGTTTTTTCAGTGCTATAAGTCGTTCCTTACATCTCAATTTATCCATGATTTTCCCTCCGCAGATGGTCGAAAGGGCAATCTTCACAACAAAAACAGACATCTTGCCATGACCCTCCCTAAAAAAAAAGGAAAATCAAACATAAATATATTATCCTTCATATCAGTACGTAAAACAAACTCTGATCAGATACAGATTTTAACTCTTAAAGATAAACAAATTATTAGATTAAGCATCAGCTTAAATTGGATTTTACTTTTAATTTTAACAGAGTTGTAAAGTAGCAAAGTACAAATACTTTGTTGCTGCACATAAGTAGAATTTTTGGGTATCTGTACTTTACTTGAGTAATTATTTTTCAGCCTACTTTTTACTTATACTTCTCACATTTTCACACAATTATCTGTACTTTCTTACATTATTAAAAAAAGGCAAAAGGTAGAAAGTCGTTACTTTTATTTCATTTTTGCTTGTTTTTATTCCAGCTTGTTGTTGCAAAAAATAAATACTATCCATATAAATTGTGCCTCCTAGATAGAGTGAATTTAATTGTGGTTGAATGAGAAGTACAAATACATAAAATTCTGATTCCGTATTAGTTTGTACACAAAAAAAAAAAAATCATGTCACACTCCAGCAGGACATAATCATTAAAATAAAAGGACTGTACTTAAGAGGTATTTGTATTACATGAATTAGATTATTGCATTTGGCCGCAGCCCTCAGATAGATTTTCCTTTTGGGGAAAAGGTTTGGGCAACCTTGATAAATGTATATAAACTGAAACAGCTGGACTAATGCATCCTAAATTTAACATAAATTAATTATTTTAATCAAATATAGTCATTTCGGCATTTTTTGGGGAGGTCACCTCCTAATAAATGTCATTGCAGAAAATCTAACTGCTCATTTTAAATCAATACTTTTACTTTTAACACTTAAGTACAAAAAATAACAGATACTTTAAGACTTTTATGCAAGTAATATTCCTAAAGGAGACTTTAACTTYTACCAAAGTCATTTTTTRGTACGATGTGGTAATTTATACAACACTGAGTTTTAAACAGGCTAAAAAAACCCGAACAACAACAAAGAAAATGACAGTAGACCCACATGCCGAAACATTACTGACGCAAATGTTTACTCATTTCGGCTGACACATTAGGCCAACATTTCACGCCTCGTTTTGCTCACGTCAAACCCTCCGATGTGAAAGTGCACCGGCGGCTTCTGGCCGCCACGCGACGCGGCGTTACTCACGGGTCGTAGGCCGCCAGCAGGAAGTTGAGCAGCAGGCCGATGGACTGCTCCACGTTGATCTGGTGGGTGGTGGGCATGCGCTTGCTCAGCTGGTAGAAGATGGTGGACAGCACCACTTCTAGACGGGCCACAGCGAGCTCGGCGTTGACGTCCACGGTGTTCAGGCCGTTCTCGCGGAAGGCCTCGATGACGTTCCAAATATCGACCAAGTGCACTGGAAACAGAGCGACACGGCGTGAGCGTTCCGCTCGGAGGAAATTATGAGCGAGCAGAAGAAAAACGTATACGGGATCTAACTCACGGTTGCATTTCTTCTGCACGAATCGAAGTTTGCAGGCGGTCCTGTATGTTGACAACCGTATGGAATCCAAATCCTGGGCCCCTGAGGAAGATTTTGATCATTAAATGAAAATGTCCAAAATCTAACCCTAAATGGTATTTTCATGTTTTAAGCAGTACGAACAGCTAAGAATGAATTTGAGCARGAAAGCTCTACAATTTTGCTACTTTCCCTGAGCTAACAAAGCTACTTTTAATACCAGCAGGGAAATCCTGACATCCAAGCAATGGTGAGGTTTCCTTTTTCATACGACGTCAAAAAATCCCCCAAAAGTAGGATTCATACCAAGTTTCAAGGGCTCCTATCGATTAGAAAGATAAACCAAGCCATRTCTCTAGAATCACACTATCAGGATGATCTAGGTGTTGAAATGTAGGTTTACAATGCCAGGAAACTGAAAATGTGCTTAGTTTAGTTTGCCCAAGTATGTCTTAATGCCTGATTTGATGTGATGGGTCACAAGGTAAAGTCTTTCCACCAACACACTTAACATGAAGGTAAATACTGATGGYTTATTTATTTATTTACTTATTTATTTTTGCTTTTTGCTCCATAGAGTCAGGATTAAATGTTTGAGAATATGAACAACTTGTTCAAATATGAAAAAAAATCCTCCAATGTTAGAAGGTTGTTTTAAAGTAAKGTTGTATTTAACACTTCAATGTGCTCAAACAACCTAAAACAATCAGGTGTCATAAAGTATGGCTCATACCTTAAAACGTCTTCTAGTGCTCRGAGAGCTTTACTCTTTGTTTGAAGAGGACTTCCTTAATTTTATAATCAGTTTAGAATTGTTTTAAATTATGATTGCATACATTTTGTATTTTTTTTTGTTTGTTCAATTTGAACAAACTACCACGCTATATACAGGCATTCTGATGTATGTTCTCTTGTAAAGATATCTAATTTATGTTGCACAWTATGGACTTTAATCAAACATTTCTGCTTATTTAAACCTGCTGGTTGTTACTATCAATCCATTTTGTGTCCCACTGCTAACTGAACATCAGGTCAGATCGGCTAAACTGTACTAATTGAAAATGACAAGAGGGCAAATAAACGCTTAAAAATATTTACATGAAACATTTTACCCTGAACAACTGAACCTGTCTGTCAGCCATGAAAATAACTTGTGTTGATATTGATGCTCAGTAGAGAAATAAACGCCGTGTTTCTCTGGTCAGAGAGTGAAACAGCCCCCCTTACGTCACGCTGAACTGTGGCCCTGAGCACTTACTCATCTCGACGTACAGTTGCCTTCTGTCTGCCATGTTGTCAGCCCTGCGCCGGCAGTCTTCAATCATTCTGATCGGGAGCAGAGAAAGTGATGTCAGAGTCTGGGACCTGCAGCATTTCATTTCAATAACATTATTTAGTCACAAAATACTTTCCCTCTGTTTTTTTGTGCGTGTAATTTAATTGCTAAATGCAACTGCATCCTCAGGAGGTACCAGACATTTTTAGAAGATTCACTATTGATTCATGCTTCAGATACTTTTTCTTGTTGAAGTAGATATATTTTGTAATAATGAAAATGTGACAGCTCTGTAAAGCATGCTGCTTTATTCTGCTGAAACACATCATCCTTGACAATATCATATTCCATTTTTGCTAAACACATTTTTTAATAAAGGAACCATTTAACACTTAAAAATAAACAAAGCATTTAGGTTATTTTTTCATACAGAGTTGAGAAAAGTGACTTTTAAATTCAGCTGTTGTCATATTGATTCAGTACTTAAAGTTGTTTTTTTGTTTGTTTGTTTTAACTTAATGTAACCTTCTGGATCCAAAAATTCAGTTTCCTCATTTGGGCTGAGTTAATTCAGTTTATGAATAAACCTACAGTATAAATATCCTTACTAAAATACTTATATTRGTATGTTGTTTTGTTTAATTTCCTACAAAATAAAAGCCACTGAGTGATTATCTTCTAATCAAATGTGTGGATTTCTTTATTTTTTTTCCAGAATAATAGTTACCAAAATGTAAACTTTTACAGAAAGTTTGCTGGAAGGAACCTCATTCTGCATCAGGATCCTGCAGCACGTTAGATTTTACGTACCAGGTTTCACATTTCAGTGGCGTTTGAACAGATCACAACTTAACGCTCATCAGAAATAGTTTGGGGCGATTTAAGGTGGACGAGAACACGATTTTTGAAAAGGGGCAGAGCTGTAGAAAGAATGCTCACACCATGCCTCGTTGCACACTGTCCAAGGCAATCTAATACACCTAGTCATGTGGTTTGTTGCCATGGCAGCAAAGATCCCATTTGCCCTGTTTGAAAACACACACAAACACGCAGGCAAAACCACCCATCACAGAAAAAAAAATTGAAAGAAAAAGTTTTTTTTTTGTAAATAACCTCTCGCTGGGCTGACTGTGCACTTCTTGTGCAACCTTGTTTTCTGAAAAAAAAAAAAAAACAATCATCTATAGAATGAAATTTCACATTAATCCTACAAACTGCTGAACCCAAATATTACAATGCAACCACTGTCAGGTGCAAGAATTAACATGCAGCTTGTGTTTAAAGGGCCTGTGCCATCCGATTTTTATAATAAAAATTAATGCAGTTTTGGAAAGATAACGTTGATAACATGTTGCAAAACAAATTGCACGTCACTGAGATGAACAGTTGTTGAG